GAAACCCACAGAGGGACAAAGGGAAGGGTAAAAAACAATCTAGACCATAAATCAAAGAAACACAGGGCAGGGCATAAGCACCCAAGGCAGTGGCAGATACGGGAAGCGTCAGACTGATGAAAGAGGTGTGACACCGCTTTTCACGGTTCTGACAAAAACAGCAAGCTCCTGTGCATACTGGTGAACCAATGGTTTTTGTGTAATTTCCACAGTTGCAGTTTCAGTATCCGAGACAAACTAAACTAAGGATCGGTCCAGCAAGATTAACAAAGACAAACTGTCAAACCCAACACCTTCAAGTTAGACCCACAACTTTCCACTATAGTCACTGGGATCTCAAATAAGTTTTGTACCTTTCGTTCAGCCTTATTCCTCTCTGTGGGTTTCCATCTCTTTCCGAAAGAGAAAGTGAAAGAAACTTCCTAAATTTTCTATTCTGATCCCATGAGTTAATTTACCAGCCTACAGAATACCATCTGTCATCAAACACAGAGTTCTAACACACTGTTGCTGGGGCTGGCGCAAATTAAGTTTCCTGTGAAGTTGATCCAGCTGTTTTGGACCTTAGTGCTCATTATCTTTAGCCCATATGGCCAATGATAAGAGATGGTGGGGAGACCAGCAGGCCTTATCATGGCTAAATATATAATCCCATATGAAGCAGAGATTAAAACGTCCGAATACAGCTACCCCTCAAAAGAACGTACAGACGGAACAACTATGGGCCTGCGTTCAGACTTCAGCAAGGGAGAAGCGGCCTTTCTAGGTTTTCTCGCAGCAGGAGGAGGAGGATGGAGAAGAGGGAAGCACTGGCGTTCAGCGACACCTCGCAGGCCTCCGCACCAGCTCCAACGGTTGCCTACCTGTCTAAGAGGGGGCCCTGCAAGCACTTGACGGCCACCGGGACTCGCCAGTCTGCGTGACGCGCGGAGGACACCGTGCCGTAGGCCCCGCGGCTGATGAAGCGCTGGTCGGGGAGCTTGTTGGAAGAGATGGTGGGGAGCGTGTAGCTAATGTTGCAAGGCTCGCAGCTGGCACTGCTGCGGCTGTCGGGGCCTCCGCCGTTCGTCCTCATGCTGCCGTCAGCGGCCATCAAACTAAGGCAGTGCTCCGGCAACCCGAAACGCGCCCCTGGCGAGGGAGTGCCTTCCGGCAATGGGTGCAAAATAACGCCCGGCGTTGCCCTGGCAGCAGCTACCCTCTCCACCGACTCCAACACTCGCACCGGTTCTTCCGCGACTCGCTCCCCTCTTCTTTTCTTTGCATCACATCCTGCTAACTGGCTCTCCAACCAGCTGGTCACCCGAGTCCAACAGCCTCCGAACGCCAACCTATTTGCTTTTACCAACTTCTCATATCATTCCCAGCCCGTCCTTTCTCTGCCGCCATCTCTTCCTCTTCGACTCCGGCTGGTCTAGCGCGAACTTCTCCTGGCGACTGGCCTCCCTGTGCCGAAGCCTCTGGCCCCCCACCTCTGGCCGCCTCTCCGCCCACTCCCTCGCCCGGCACAGGCGACGGCGCTTCGTGCCAAACACCCGGCTTTCGATCCCGCGATTCGCAGGACCCCGAGCCAAGGCAGCGTTCGCCTTTGAGCCTCTTCCAGAGCTCCGCAGGCCTCAGTGGCGATCCACTGCTTTCAAGGATCGGAAGTCGGATCAGACGCCTGCGGAACGCGCCCCCTCTGCTTCGGGGAGGAGGGGAAAAGAAGGGGGGCGAGTTACGAATCCGATGGAAGCCGGCTGCAACTGGCGATGCCCGCGTCAATGGCGCCCCAAAGCCTTCACGGGCCCGACTACTCGTGGCGAGCTGGACACTCCGCCCCCCTCGCAGAGCCAGCCCGCTCTGGAAGAGAGAAAGGCGCTCCGGGACGAAGGCGTCGTCTTGGGTGGGTTCCAAAAAAATCCGCCTCCTCATTCTGGGAAAGCCCAGCCGCGCCGACCGGAAAGTCTGGCTAGTGTGCGCCCCCGGTCAGGCGTCTGCTTGCTGCCTCTTCGGGTGGGCTGTTCTACTCCTCTTAGTTGCTTAAGACGGAATCGTTTACGGCAGGGTTCCTCCACCTTGGCGACTTGAAGTTGGGTGGACTTCAACTCCCAGAATTCCCCAGCTAGCCATGGGAGTTGAGTCCTCACATCTTCAAATCGCCAAGGTGGAGGAACCCTGGTTTACGGCAACTCATCAGCACGCTTCGGAAATGAGAAAACTGCAATCCCCAATACTTACAAGCAAGCAAGCATATGTCCGAACTCTGCAAACCGATATACTTGGGCTACAGGTGATAGGCGAGGCTTTACACTGTGGTCCCGCGCCAGTTTGTTCAAGTCCCGCTACTTTTACCTAAGCATTTTAGGATGTTTTAAGAGGCATTACATCCCATTCGGCTGCGTTCAGTGTCAGCTAACGACGCCGTCTTCAGCCTGTGTTTACATAACATTAAGCCCATTCGCAACAAGTAAACCACATTTTGTCTTAAGTTGTCACGTGATTCAAGCCTATCCTACCGAAGTTTATTCGGTAGAAACCCCAGTGAGCCGAAAGCGGCCATACAGCTTAACTGATGCGGAACAAATAAAACGTCGCTGTTTTCATCGTCTGTGACCCCATCCAATCGGATTCCTTATTGAGAAAGAGAGCGAGCGCTCCATATTTGCTGAGATCAAGGAATCTAGCCCAGTTTCCAAACCAGCAGAGGAAGAAGCCGTGTAACCCGCACTGTGTTTTGGGTCCCGCCCTGGGGCTGGTTTTGATCACGCGGGAGCCAGCGGAGAAAGGAAGGGCGCTTTCCGGGAAACACGCCCAGGATGGCTGTTTCTTTCGGAGAAAGTGGTAGTTTTATAAAGTGCTGTACTTTGCACCAAAATCCTAATAGAGGAAACCAATATTAACCCGAGAAATTACTTTCAAACGGAGAAGCAATTATTTCATGATCCCAGCAGCTCTGAGAGAGTGCTCGTACAACCGGAAAACATCAGCATATCCTCCCCCCTCCTCCGCATTACTACTTTGCTTAGTGTAGAAATGGAGGAAACTGAAAAGCTGATTTGTGATTTAGACCTGACCCTATAAAAATGTTGCTCTGTGTATGGATTTAGTCATATTGTAATAAACAGAACATTCAAGAAATGTTTCCAAAGTAAAGAAAAACAAAAATTTCTGGACCCTGGATCTGAAATAGCATGAGCTGGTCACAAATGGTCTTTTAAGATTCTCCATCAATTCTCTGTGCAGAGAAATGGGACAATTTCCAACAATTGCTCAAGGGCAGGGAATCAGAATGAGCCTGGTACCATCTTTCAGACTAACACATTAAATTAAAAGACAGAAGCTTTTGTGAACTTCATCAGACACACAGAGTGGCTAAGCTGATGTAGGACTGGGATGAGGCGGGTTGAAAGGGAGGGCAAGATAGGGTGTTTATGCAGATGCTGGTGAGTGTGAGACACCTTACCTTATCATTTAACAATTGTAATAAGTTAAAACACTATTGTGTTGAGATCTTTTGAGATAGCCTGAAACCTTTTCATGGGAGGTCAGTTGTGCTGGCAAAGTTTCTTTGTTCCAAAACAGCCATGCTGAGATCTGTAATGGAGTTCCCTGGGAGGCTGAAATCCTCCTACACTGTACTTTGTCCTTGTTTTGAGTCCTGGTGTCAAATTTGTGTCCATTCTTTTCCAAAAAATCTGGCTTGTTTGTCCTACACAGGATCCAGATAATGGCATTAGGAAAAAGCATCTGAAGGTGCTTCTAATCTCACGTGTAAAGTTGTTGAGGCTTTTGATGGTGCTACTGGTGTAAATGTGGGGGCAAAGTAGACATCTGGGTTTGTTGCAAGGTCTGGTTTTCATGCTCTCTTCTATTTCTTGTTGCTTGTGAGAATCTACTTCAGGTTGGGTGGTTGTCTGCATGCAAGTATGGCCTTGCTACCCATTGGCTTAGAAAGTGTGGTGTCATTGTCCAGTATGGATTGTACCGTGTTAATAATGCATTTGAGTGCTTAAGTGTTAGCTTTAGATAACAAACAGTAGTGCTCTGTTGTTCTGTTTTTGTGATCTCTCTCCTAATAGGTCCTTCATGGGAATCAGTTTGCCTCTATTAATTTGTCTGTTGATCTTGTTGAATGGATAGTTCAGTCTCCTGAATACCTGATTTAATTCTGTTGAGCAAAGTGGGTCAGAACAAATGTGGTTTAGCATACAGCCTGGCAATAGACAATTGGAGGTGTGTTCTGGATGGAAGCTAGGAGCAAGTTAAGTATGCATCTGTAGGTTTCCTGTATAATGTGATGTTATAGACCCACTATATAGTTTTCCCATGACATCAAAGAAACAGACTTGTTCTGTAGATAGGTTGAGGTTGATGGTGGAGTGGAAGTTATTGAAGTCATGATAGGATTTGATGACAGATTCTTATTTATGTTAGCTAAAATTGTGCGAGTGTTGCTAGTATTGGTGTATAGTGCCTTAATATTCATGGTAGTTATACTGGTGCTGTTAGGGAGATTGTCTTCCTAGGAGGTCTGGGTCTTGGAGTGCTGGTAGTATAAGGTGTAAGTACAGAGCCAATTAATCATGATATTCCAGTTGTGGTGGTTCCAGTGCTTGAAACTGTGGGATGGCCCAGATTGCCTGCTTTGTGTATTTTGGGAAGTAGGTAGAAGGTGCCTGTCAGAGCTCTTGGGTATCTCCATGTAGATTTGGTCTTATATAGGAAATTATTTCAACAGATTGCATATTTTTTTCTGATACATTACTGTGAGAACTGAGGATAGAAGTTGATAAATGTAGTGTTAAAAAGTTGCTTCTCAGCTTCCTTGACATGATCCACTTTATTCATAATGACAACTGCCCCTCTTTTGTCAGCTTCTTTTTTGATTATGATGTTGTTGTTTTTGAGGCCTTGGATGGCATCTCATTCTGTTCTGCTAGGATTGTTGCATAAAGGGAGATTTTTTTTTATTGATGATTTTGGTTTGAGTTTGTTGGCAAAAGCATTCAGTGTAGAGATCCAATCCAGTGTTATGTCCATCTGGGTGCATCCATGAGGTCTTTTTAAAAATGAATTTGGATTTTGATCCAGTCTGTAGCTGTATGTTATCCCAAGATGTGTTAGATTGATGATGGTTGTATGTCTGAGTCAGGTTTCTAGTCTTGAAAATATTCCTTGTCTCAAGCAGTGGAAAAATCATTTCAAGGTCTCCAAAGTGTTGTATATTTTGTGTGGGCAAAGGGATAAGCCTTATGGACTATTTTGCTTGACTGAGTGTGCGGCTGACTGGTGGTGAAGGTCTCTGAAGCCTTCTTATTATGGTGAATGGAGGCTTTTAGAAACTTTGAGAGTTTGTTTTCTTTCTTTTCCTTTTTCCTCAGGGGTGACAATAGCACTGCTGCTGAAAAAGACCCCCACCCCACCCTGGGAGGAAAAGCTTTCTGATGAGGTTTCACTGTGGGATTTATTTGAAATGTGGGAACTTCATAACTAAGTACAGTACAAGAATTCCATCTTTTCCTTTGAAAAAGTGTCTACCTAAAATTTATTTGACCAAACTGAATGATAACTGATGGAGTGAGGAGAAGGCAGGACATTTTCTCTACCTGACACAAATTTTCTATTAGCTTCAGTTCAGCTCAACTGTTTTCTACAAGTTTACAATAAAATGAGGCAGAAGTGGCAGCTGATAGCATTAAATCGAAATTAATTACAGAAAGACCGTGAGTTGTAGTCCGCCTTAGGCATGAAGCCAGCTGGGTGCCTTTGGGCCAGTCACTCTTTCTCAGCCCTAGGAAGGAGGCAAGGGCAAACCACTTCTGAAAAACCTTGCCAGGGGCAACTGCCAGGAGTCAACACTGTCTTGAAGGCACCAAATATGTATGTATGCATGTATGTATGTTCTAGTCTCACCTAGGCACAAAGCCAGCTGGGTGACCTTGGGCCAGTCGCTTTCTGTCAGCCCTGGGAAGGAGGCAATGACAAACCACTTCTAAAAAAAACAAAACAGAACACCTTGCCAAGAAACTTGCAGGGACTTATCCAGGCAGTCTCTGAGAAGTGGACACAATAAATAAATAAATAAACAAACAAATGAATTACTGCAGCCTCAATAAGAATATGGA